CGAGTTTTTTCATCGCTACCGTATAGTGGGTGAAGATGGCGAGGAGAACGTCACCAATCTCCAACTGCTGACTGATCAAGTCTTCAGTGACTCACCTGTCAGAATAATTAGATTTAATTATTTCATCAATAAATCTATCAACAAATCGCATGTCGTAATTCAAATGCATCTTAGATGCATTTTGAATCGCACCCAAGTAGCTCGATGCATCAGCCATTGTTTTCCCAACTCCTCTCCATTTTCCACTCTTCTTCCCTTTTATCATCAGCACTGCGGTCTTCAGCGCCACTTTCCATACTGACTCAGCCAATCACTTGTGCTACTTGCAATGCGTACAGACCTTCAGGGCTGTTTTTATTAAAGGCAGTCGCGGGTAAATGTCGAGGTGTGGCGTCTTTACCACTGACACTGCCCTTATGTTGAGGCAATTACAACCGGATCCCACTTAAATATGCTTTCATTCCACTGGGACATCCTCCTTTACTGCTAATGAAAATCACCTACCTTCCGTTGCCTCCACCTCCTCCTCCATCTCCACTTCCTCCGCTGACTCCGCTTCCAATCACTCCGCTGGTCCACATCTACTATTCCAACTACCAACAAGACAATCATCTTCCCGTTTATTGACGTCTATTAGCTCCATCTGGACCACTCCTACAAATTACACTCTACCACTCTTACAGTGACAGATCTGACCTCCGCTTCAGCCTCCAACATTTACGCAACTTCTAACACTTCACGCCAATTTTCATTACCAGTTCTCGCCTACCGTAGAGATCGTGGTAACCTAAACACCACGTTGGTTGAATACTGTGCTACCTTTAACCAACTCGTCGCTGAACAGAAGGAAAACACTTGTCAACGAGTTTTTCCCATCGCTACCATGTAATAGGTGAAGATGGCGAGGAGAACGCAACTAATCTCCAAGTTTAATGAAGGGATAATCAACCAGCTCAGACACGGAATTCGCTAACTCACATTGGTGGAGAAACTTTGCACCACAAAACCAACTCTCCGAGCCAGC